AGTTTTTCTGGTGTCTTCTTCCCAGGTACTTGCCATGTTTGTCCTTGGCTATTTTTTCTGAAGGTGGATGGAGAACCATTTCACTGTTACACGCTTTGGGATATTTATGAGCTGCAAGTATACACTTCTGTGATACCAAATAACTAAATATCATTCAACAACTAATTTAGTGGGGAAAAGGATGATTTCTCCCCAATGTATGTGGATTTCCTAGCATAGAATTAGAAAAATGCAAATAAGAGATGAAGTAAAGAACCTAAATTTTATACATAAAGGAAATTCAAAGAATTAGAGCATGGTGTCCTCTCCCGGAGTCTCACTCTTCAGTGTCATTGTTTCGGTATTTTTGTGGCTTCTTAGACTCAAATATCTCCAGAGAGGCAAAGGTTGGAGCCACATTGAAACATCGTGCTGCTCTTCTTGTTTTTTTAGATGACCCACAACATTCACTATTGCCCTCAACATTCTCACAGTTCAGAAGCGTTCTATTAAATTTTTAATACACTGACTTTTCGATGGCAGAGAGCCCCTTTCGCTGGATATCAGCCCTAGACACATGAATTATATATCTATAAATACACTCATAAAGCAAAAACGCAGAGCAGCCTTCAGGGCTAAAATAGACCTTTTACATCCCTAGTGATCACTCTAGTTTAAAGAAAAGCACAACCCTGTCAAAAAAGGGTATAGATTCCCAATTTAAATTGCTAACTTTAAAGAATACAGATAGTTCTTATTCCAAACCAAAGAAAAATTCTGGGGATGGAATAGGAAATTAGAGTTTTGATGGATTACAGGTTTTGTATCACTCTGCCTGTAACCCCTTATGACTTTAGGCTTGTTGCTTCTGTGAATGCTTTTGTACTCATAGACATCTGGAAGATAACTGACTCCATAGTCTCTCAGCAGTGAAAAAAAATATATTATCAGCTAGTCCAACATTTCTGAGGATAGTCACTTTAGATTAAAACAAATAAACATGAAGTCTTAAATAGCCTTCCACAATCTAAGTCATTTCTATTAAAGATCTAATGATGGGAGAAATACATCCCTTACCTCCTCATCTCGAATGACGTGTGCCCTTGGACTTCCCAGGACACTATAACATCTTAAATCCTAAAGACAGAATTTGATATTAAAATTGATTATACACCCCAACGCACACACCTGTCCCAGGCACCTTCTATGTTTATGGTTATCTTAAATTTTCCACCTATTTTCACTATAATTCTCATTTGTAATAATGACCCCCCACATCTCAGTCAACTTCCTTTTAAACTAAAGCCACTCTTCCAATTCCTTGAGGTTCCAGAAAAGGGAGGTTATGAAAGCTTCTACCATTTCGTTGGTTAAATACCACTGGAATTTGGGCTCAAATTTCCCTGACAGAGCATCATTTGTCATTTTTATCCCTGATACCAGGATTAATAACAAAATAGCAAAGAAAACTGAAGATTACTTTTGACAGATTCTTTTATTTAAACTGTGCAATAGCATACTCGTCACTTTAGTTCTGAAATAAGCTCTTATCATTTCACGTAGGGGCTCACCAACATTTTAGAAGGTGTTTATAAATTAGCAATCTTCAGAACCCTCTTTCCATCTCATTATGAAAAGAATAGTTTTCATTTTTTTTTTTTTTGTAATCCAAGTGAGATGCTTGCATTAGGGTATTGAACGAGAAGGGAACAGCAAAGGAAAGTGGAGGTAATTCTACTGCAGAGTGAGCAGTTTGTAGATTTCGTAGATTTTTAGCAACCAAGACACTGCAGAAGCTTTAGCTAAGATTGAAAAGAGGGGGGGAGAATGGGCAAATTTAAGACTCCAGTTGGGTGTCACAGATGGTACACTAAAATTGCAAATGAATGCCACTCTGTAATCATGAAGACAGTGATCTTAATCTCACTGAAAGGGACACTAGCATCCTGCTTAATAATTTGCCTTTATATTTAAATTATTTGTACCAGGACTTTGCCTCCCGACAAATCAGTTATTCCTGTCTTTTATCCCAGTTTCTCTGCTTAATATACACGGGGTAGATTTTCATCGTTGCCCTAAGGGACAAATGACTCTTTGTATTTGTGTCAGAAAGGAACACATATGCTAAACCTTTGTTCTAGGTGAGGTGGATAAAAAATCCTGTCTTGTTCTCTGAAAGAAAGTGAAATCATCCCTGAGTAATCTCTAGGGAAACTTTACACAGATTGCATGGGCCTTCACTTCTCTCTCCTCACTGCTCTTCTCTTGCTCAAACACTGCCTTCTTCCATGTATCACCTTAAATATAGCACCTGGGGGCCCCCGTAGTAGAAGAATAAGGAGAAAAGTTAGCTCAGGGCCAGTTTTAGGACTGGCTTACCTTTAGGGAACCATGCCAAATCTCATTTATAAAAACTAGCAAAAGTGTGTAAATTATGCATTAAATAAGTTGCAAGATATATGAATTATATATGTTCACAACGTGAAAAATAGGCATGCTGGTCCAGTGAAGCAAGTTTGAATCTTTGAAAAATTTGCAAAGATCATTTTGTTCAATAGTTTCAAACTCTGAGCACTAGAAGAGAAGTTTGGGTTTAGAGCAAAGACCAAACTATCATCTTGAGATTCTCAGACACGTTCTTGTTTTATTTCCTTACATAAGGTAACATTATCAGGTTGGCCATAGATGACTGTACAAGACTCTATTGTTTCTTCCCTTCCAAATGTTACACATTATGTACATTATTGCCTCCCTCCCCAACTCAGTTTCTCTCTGTGTAGCACAATGTCATTGGCTAAACAGGGAGAGAGTAAAGGCTTCTGACTTGGGTGCAAGCAGGTCTTCTCACATGCTTTGAAGGTGTGCAATAGCTTTCTTCTCAGGAGGCACTTCTCTTAGCACCCCTGAAACCTGAATAATTTAGACGCAGCAGTTCTAACTGAGGCACAGGAACTGTTTAAAGGTGTGGCAAGCTGAGTGGAGAGTTCTAATTTGTGAGTCAGTCTTTATAGGAAGAACCTGGGAAGACTGTGTAAGCTCAAAGCCTTTTCCACCTAGAGTGTCTCTAGAACTTTGCAGTATTGAGCCACATGTCTGGCTTTTTCACCAAAGGGGCACCTCAGCAAATGTCATATCTGATAATGGACTCAAACACCAACCATCCCAGCAGGACAAAGTTACTACTGAGGGCAGAACACACAAGAACATGGTACCTGGTTAAGAGCTTACTGACTTAGTGCAGAAAAAGGCCTTCAACAATAATATCATATTAGCATCTCAACTGTCTAAGTAACTGGAACAGGGAAATATCATGCCATCCCTGCTAGTGGATTTTTTAAAACAATAGTTGGAATAAATTTTTTTGAATAAATTCAATGAAGAGTCATGAACTATGACTTCTTGAGACTCTTCCTCTGCTTGAAAAATAACACTGTAAAGAGACACAGAAGGGATCTTGATTATCTTGCTTAAATAGATGAATAATAACCTTGGCCCTACAATTAGGTGAGTAACATCCACCACAGTGGTACCCATGATTTGCAAGGCACTATGATTTAGTGAACTATTCTGAACTTTCTCCTGACCTAGTCCACATGTCAAAAGTGCATGTGAGTAAACTGTATATTTTTGTCAGTCTAGTTAAGAATCACTGATTTAAAAAACTCACTTTGCTAATTCTACATAAAGTAAGTAAGTTTCCAGTAAGTCATGGTATGTAGGCTGGGTATTTTTAAAATCTAGCTTCCAGCTCAGCATATATCGCATAAAGCATAAAAGCAATGCATAAACATAATGTTAGACCAATACAAGGCAAGTTCTTATTTAATAGTCAGGGGAATTTCAGGGGAATGCAAATGACACATGTGAAATAAAAGGTAGTAGGTTAAAATACTATGTTGCTTATGTTTCTTGATCTTGGTCTCAGTGACATGGAGAATATGTCATTCTTATCTTCATGGGTGCAAATAAGTAGAAACCCAAGAAGGCAATAAAGAAATGCTATGGTTCACAAATTAAGCACATGCATGTGTGCATGCACACTCACACAATTTTGGTAGCCAGTCAGTATTTGCAACAGTCTAATCGAATGTCATCATTCCATAAGCAGATCCTGGAAACAGCCTATTTGACTTCTATCTAAATAATTACTTGAGAGTATCTTCCCACTCTAAGCCCTCAATCTAAGGATTCAAATTTTGGCAGCAAGAGGCATAAAATGGGCTCTAAATCAGCCTAGAATGGTTAGGCTACAGCTAGAAAGGATCCATATGTGGATCCAACTCATTTTATTATAATTTCTGAGGTGGAACCTATGAACTACATTCACGAGAGTGACTATGAATTGCGCTTTTCTGCGAGTACACTAATTCTGTTTTTCTTTTTCTTTTCCATCCCAGGAGGTGAATTAGTTATCCCTCTTCTTGTAGAAGACCCTTTAGCTACCCCTCCTATTGCTACTCGTGCACCTTCCATTACACTCCCCCCTACCTTCCGCCCCCTCCTCACCATTATTGAGACCACCAAAGATTCCCTGTCTATGACCTCTGAGGCGGGGTTACCTTGCTTGTCGGACCAAGGCAGCGATGGTTGTGATGATGATGGCTTGGTGATATCTGGGTATGGCTCAGGGGAAACCTTTGACTCTAACCTGCCCCCTACTGATGATGAAGATTTTTACACCACCTTCTCCTTGGTAACAGATAAGAGTCTTTCCACTTCAATCTTCGAAGGTGGCTACAAAGCACATGCGCCCAAGTGGGAATCCAAGGACTTTAGACCTAACAAAGTCTCCGAAACTAGTAGGACTACTACCACATCTTTATCCCCTGAGCTGATCCGCTTCACAGCTTCCTCCTCGTCTGGGATGGTGCCCAAATTGCCAGCTGGCAAAATGAATAACCGTGATCTCAAACCCCAGCCTGATATAGTCTTGCTTCCGTTGCCCACTGCCTATGAGCTAGACAGCACCAAACTGAAGAGCCCACTAATTACTTCCCCCATGTTCCGTAATGTGCCCACAGCAAACCCCACGGAGCCGGGAGTCAGACGGGTTCCGGGGGCCTCAGAGGTGATCCGGGAGTCGAGCAGTACAACAGGGATGGTCGTCGGCATTGTGGCTGCTGCCGCCCTCTGCATCTTGATCCTCCTGTACGCCATGTACAAGTATAGGAACAGGGACGAGGGGTCCTATCAAGTGGACGAGACGCGGAACTACATCAGCAACTCGGCCCAGAGCAACGGCACGCTCATCAAGGAGAAACAGCAGAGCTCGAAGAGCGGCCACAAGAAACAGAAAAACAAGGACAAAGAGTATTATGTGTAAAAATGACACCGCTAACAATACGTGAATTTAAAACACAGAATTATTTATATATAAATATATGAATACTTGGGAAATGAGATTTAACAGATGTCAGAACTGTGATAACTATGAGACGGGGTATATACCATGACTATGGTGGGGAAAACCATTTTTAAAAGGACACACATAAAGATGTACTTACCTATAATGTTCAGCCAGGGCTGCTTTGATTCAGTCATCACTCGGAGACAGAACATTCTTTCTGCCCTGCTGTATCATAAAGCACACACTTTGCCCTCTGGAGCAAGCTGGTGGCTCCCCCACTTTCGAAGACTTGGAAGCTTCCTTCTCTTGAGAACCTTTCAGCCAAGGTAGAAGACTTCATGGCTTACTTGTTCCATAACTCCAAGTGAGTCTGTAATGATGTTTGTGAAGCTTGACTGTAACAATGTTTTTCTTTTGGTTTAATTATGTAAAAAACAAAAGCAAAAAAAGAAAAGAAAAAAGTTAAAAACAAACAAAAAAAAAACCACCCTTATCTGGTTCTGGCCAGTGTGCGTGTAACTTTTCAAGATCTGAGGGGAAAAATGGCTTTGGGTTTTTGTTTATTTTTTGAGAATGACTGGACATAAGAAAAAGAAAAAAAAAAAACTCAGAAAACAAAAGTAAGAGAGACTATTGCCATATGAACTCAAAAGCTACCATGGTGTTCACTCTACATATCAGGTTGTGGTGTTTCTAGAATCTGTTGTTTGTTTCCTATGAGATGCTTTGCTGAAAACATAGCAAAATCATGTGATGGATGATAATATTGATTTGAAAAGCTTGTCCCTCAGGATCTAATTCCAGAATTTGCCACCCAAACCCTGAACAGATAGGGTTAGGGCTGGTTTTATCAGAGCTATTGGCTTTACTTAACAATATAGTTCCTGTCCATTAGCCCAGCCAAATTGTGGTAAAGGAGAAAGCCCCACAAACTCACACAGAGCCTTTCCTAGGGAAGGGGAAGGGGGGGTGGGCTGGATCTGTGAGTGATTGAAATGCATGCAAATATGAAAGAAAAGACAATGCCAAAAGTCTGTTCAAGAATCCAAACAGACAATAGGGGAGTTCAACTTGTGACGGAAACACAAAAGGTCGCACAAGCCAAACGTGGCACCACAGAGTGCAAAATACATAGTTCTTTCCCCGCCCCCAACGTGTTTTTCATAGTGGTTTAATTTTGTAGCCTAACACTTTCGGATAACTTTATCGTTCCATTTGCTCACATCTCCTTTCACCCATCTTTTCTAAAAATAAATAAATAAATAAATAATGAATAAAGCTGCTGTGACACACACACAAAAAAGGAATTTAATAGTATAATATATATATAAATAAATATATATACAGATATATTTATCATGGTATGTTTGATGAGATGGCTGAAACAGAACAACTGTTCAAGTCTTGAAGTGGAATGAGAATGTTGTTTTAGAAGAAAATAACAAAACAACAAAAAAGTAAACCTTAAAATGTGAAGAAAGTGTGAGTTTTAGTTTTGTCACAGTTAACTGTGTCAAAGAGAATAAAAAATCTCAGATTTTGTTTACATATTTTACTACATTTTTGCTGGTATAATTCCTTAGCCACCTATGTACATACTGCTTTCAGAACTGTTCTTTCCTTTCTATTTGTTTATTTCGGTTTGTGTGGGTTATATTCCAGTTGTCTTTCTTTCTTTTTGAAAAAAAGGAAACAATGTACAGAAAAACAATAAACTGGTTGTGTGGCCATAGCTATCCAAAAAGCAGGAGACAAAGAGAGACAAATATTCACACAAAAAGGAAGTGTGTCCTCTGGAGGGTCAGATATACACAATTTCTTTTGTACAGATGAAAATCAATCAGCTGTTTAGATTTAGAAATCTATTCTTGCTGGTCTTCGTAAGTTGCATGAATATTTGACTATGAAAAAATATCTTAAAGACATGGGGCGAAAAGCGCGATCTAAACAATGGTAGCGTTTACTAATGTGTATGGAAAGAGGTGTTCCTCATTATCTGATATTTCAGTGTATTAAGAACTTTGGATTTTTTTTTGTTGTCTTTAAAAGAGACAGGATTATAAAGAGATGTCCAAGCACGATTTTAGATAACCTAATGGCCCAACCTATATGAAGTTGATTATATCTCGATGTCTGTCAAGATTGCTGTTCTTGGAGTCTTGAGGTCTTGTGAACTGATTTCCTGCTTTCTTTCTTCACATTTTTTTATTTGAGTAAAAATACATTTGTTATATTCCTTTTAGTGTAAGTTTCTATTTGGACAATTTTATGGGAACATGTGCATTCTGTATGTGAGCTTCTATCATATTCCTGTTGTTTTATGAGCAGACTCTTGAGGAATTTATTTTATGATGTTGTGACGTTGCTGCTTTTTCTTTTCTCTTTTCTCTTTTATTTCATATTTGCATTTTCGTTCAAGGATATGCTTAGCAATAAAATGTTCTTCCCAAAACCTGGTATGATGATGCATTTTTATTTTCTAAACATTTGGGGAAAGATCTTGCACTGAGGCTAAACATGTCAGATCTTATTAAAAACCAAGTAAGCTAGGACCACTTTCATGTGATATAAAATATTCTAACCAGTTATTAATTACTTGTACAAACTTATCAAAAGTGGCATATTTATGAGCTAAACAATTATTGTCTGTTAACTGAGGCGTTATTGTTTAGATTGCTGTGATAGTGTAACCAGGAGGGAAAGAACTTTTTGGAACAGGTAAGATGACAGAAGTGTTGTATTCTGGAGAAGATTATTGGATACTATATTTTAAAAAGTGTTTGGTAAATTTTAAGTATTTTCTATAAGTCAACAAACTTTAACAGTTTTCCAGAACCATGTTCATATAGTACCTCAAGCACTAGAAATCTTTAAATGCCTTCTTTCTAAGCCTCCTGCCTATTGAAATTTTTTTAAAAAGCACTAAATCCAAAACCAAAATTTAAATGAATGCTAAATTCTAACAGCTTCTTTCTAGATTTTCAGATTATAAAATTCTGCAAACATTCATTATCACTGGAATATTTCTCATATCTCAGATGTCCTTGATTTGCTAGTTCCCTAAGCACATGTTTACGTTGCCAATTGGATAATCCATCATGATACCCTACATTTTTCACTATGATCCAGAAATGTGGGTTTATCTGAATGGCTGTACTCTATCCATATGTTGGTTACCAGTTTTCAAAGAGTTAGAATTAAAAACAAATGTAATTAACCCTGTTCCTTCAGATTCCATTAGTGGAATGGTTATGCTATTGACTATCATGGGAACGGAAAAAAATAAGGCTTAATGATATCAAACTATGGAAAGTTCCTTTTTCGGTTCCTGTTTCAAATAATTTACTTTAAATAATAAATAATTTAAATAATTTAAATTAAAGTGATCATTTATCTACGCCCACAATGTGCCAGATACTGTGTTAAGTGTTTTGGATCTATGTAGTCTGTTTAATCCCTTGGTGGTAGATAGTATTTTCCTCATCTTAAAGATAAGGAAACAAAGGTACAAAGAGCTTAATGACAACTTGGCTAATACATTTCTAATCATATTAAAAGTCAAGCCTTGCTGACATGGAGGTCAGTGGGATGTCATGGAAAGGGTATAGGTACTGAGGCCAGACAGAGCTGGGTTGGAACCCCAGCTGTACTACTCACTATGTAAGGGCAAGTTTCACAATCTCTCTGAGATTTGGCTTCCTCACCCAAAAAATGTGACACCTCAATGATTTTGCCTTATAAGGTAGTTTGTGGAAAAGTATGAAATAATATAGTGTTTTAATTGTGACTGATAGAGAGAAGGGGTTCAACAAGGTTAGCCTCCTTACTTTGAGTCCTATGTTATTTTCTATATGATAACTGCCTTCTAGAATTGGAAATTCTACACTAAATTCTACAATAAAAATAGATTTATTTAGTAGTTGTCAAGCAATGTTGCCAAGTCATGACGAGGGCTCACAGCTATAATTGACAAAATTAGTCTTTTTCTAGTCATATAATTTTATTTCATGCATGATTACAACTAGTAAGCAAGTGGTATTGACGGTTAGTAGCATAAGTCTGTCTGACAGTACATTTTAAGCAAGTGACCAGAAGTTGGGGTAAGTAATGGGAATATAGATTTGAGAAAATGTTAAACTTGTCTGAGAAATTTCCAGATGATGGTTAACATGGTAGATTCAAGATCTAAGTGGCATTTGCGCAGATATATTGTTTAAAGTCCATCAAAAGAAATAATTTTTCATTGTCTTCCCATGAGGAAGTGTTAAGACTATACCGTCCCATTCCAATGTGTTTAACTTTGGCCTTGGGATTTGGCATCAGAAAAGCTTACTTCAAATTTTGGCTCCGAATCCTGGATCTGTCCTTTACTAGCTGTGAAATGTTGAGTAAGGTGTGCAGTGACTCTAGCTTCATCCATGAAATTGGAATTATATTGCCCTCCTCTTAATGCTGTTCTATAATTAAATGAGCTAATGTGGATATAAGTGCCTGGACACGAGCACGGTGGCTGGCTCATAACCCTCAAACAATGATGGCTAATATTTTCTTTTTAATTATCTATTATCCTAGAAAAAAATGAGCCAAAATTCCTTCTAAAAGTCTAGAAGGGATACATATTAGAGAGTCCCAGAGCAATCATTGTACTTCTGTTGCCTAAAATCATAATTGTTTTTATTCCCCTACGGTTGGAATCACATTGATTTTTTGATTCTTTGAGCTCTTCTTGAGTCTTCCACAGAAATGGGCATACCCCTGCAAAACCTTTTACTTCGATCAGCTCCTTTGGTATAGGGACCATAAGAAAGGTTCAAATGGTGACCTGTTCTGTGCCTTAAAGGATAGTCTTCCGTGCCTCCCAAATCACAGAGTTATCATTGCCTTAGATACCCCTTCAAAATTCTATATTAACTTTCCCTCCATAAACTTTCTAAATATCACTACAGTCATGCGTTGCTTAACAACAGGGGTACATTCTGAGAAATGCATCTTTAGGTGATTTCATCATTGTTTGAACATCATAGAGCGTACTTACACAAACCTAGATGGTATAGCCTAATACACACCTAGGCTATATGGTAGTAATCTATTTATTTTATTTTATTTTTTTTTTTATTTTTTGCCCCCAAAGCCCCAGTAGATAGTTGTATGCCATAGCTGCACACCCTTCTAGTTGCTGTATGTGGGACTCGGCCTCAGGATGGACAGAGAAGTGGTGCCTCGATGCGCACCCGGGATCCGAACCCGGGCCGCCAGCATCGCAGCGCACGCACTTAACCACCAAGCCACAGGGCCGGCCCTATGGTAGTAATCTTATGAGACCACCTTTGTATATACGGTCCATCATTGACCAAAATGTCATTATAGGGTGCGTGACTATTTTTAATATATAATCCAAGAACCACTTTAAGCATTCACTGTTTTGATAATTCAACCAACATTTGTTGAACACTTATGTGCCAGCCAATCTACTATTGGCTATTGTTACTTTGTTTCAATAAAGGCAGAAAATTGATATGAGGATTTTAAGCCTTTTTATCTCTTGTATAGATCCATAGAGGCTCAGGTTCTCTTTACCCATATACAAATTGAGGTTTGATCTTTCTCCAAAAATATCCAAACCCTGTATTTGTCCCAGTTGAATTAAAATGTTGATGATACTGTTTGACATTAGTTTGATTATTAATGTAATTAATGGACATTATTAAATAATTACTATATCTTAAATTGAGAGCCTTTAGGAGTTATAATCTACTAAGGGTGCAGAAATAATGATACTACAGTGAATACAAATAACCTTTCAAAGTACAAACTGAGTTCTTTGGAGGTTCACAAGAAATTACTCAAGAGCAGGTTTCGTAGAGGAAGTGACATGTTAGGTAAACCGTGAAAAGTCGATACCCAGAGGTTAGGGCTGCGTGCCATTCCAAGCAAAACCTTGAAGTGGGAGCAAGTAGGATCCAAACCATAATTTGGGTGGATCCCAGATTATATAAAGTACGTTAGTGGAAGATATGGCTAGGAAGGCTTTTGGAATTTTGTCAATGAAAGGAAAGAGAGAGATGGGAAAATGTCTTGAGAAGTTCTCAAGGTCAGGGACTAGTTTGTTGTTGAGTGCACAGAATATAAGAAAAGCAAGGTAATAACTGATACATTCTCAGAGAAGCTGAAAGATGATTGGAGGGATCCAGTTTCCTGATAGAGGTGTTACTCTGAGCAGAGAGGGGGATAAGTTGTTCGTCTGATAAAGTAACAGAGATGGAGAAAATGGGATCAGGAACTGACATATTGTAGTGGAGGTGACAGAAGTTGTGACAGCTATAGTCAGAGAGCCACAATGTTCTAGGTAAATCAAAGGCAAAGTCGCGTACCCAATAGTGAGGCTATGAGCACATTGCAGAAGTCTGTTGACAACCCTGTTAAGAAGGCAGCTCATGAAAGTCTCAGTAAGAGGCCAGCTGTCTTTATCTGGTGTTGATAGTAAAGCTTCATGCTTCTGCTACATTTCTTTTTTGTTTCATGACTTGAAATCCAATTTTGTGCTTCCAAATTTAGAGCTCTTTCAATTATGTAATGCTGTCTCTAGAGAAACAAGCCATTTTATACTTTTTTCCCAAAGCATTTGGAGTGGCAGCTAAGGAAGAGAATGATAGTATGTTGTATTAGTCTGCTCAGGTTGCCATAACAAAATACCACAGGCTGGGTGACTTAAAAAGTAGAAATTTATTTCTCACAGTTCTGGAGGCCAGAAATCCCAGATCAAGATCCGGGAAGGTTTGTTTTCTGGTGAGCGCTTTCTTCCTGGCTTGTAGACAGCTGCCTTCTCACTCTGTCCTCACATGACCTTCCTTCTGTGTGCTGAGAGAGAGACAGAGATAGAGACAGAGAGATCTCTCCCCTCCTCTTCTTGTAAGGCCACAGTCCTTTCAGATTAGGGCCCTACCCTATGACCTCATTTAACTTTAATTACCTCCTAAATATCCTATCTCCGAATATAGTCACATTGGAGGTTAGGGCTTCAACATGAATTTAAGGGGACACATTTCAGTCCATCACAGATGTACATGGTGTTGGGAATTGGTAAGGTGAAAATTTCAAGAGCTCAAAGGAGTCAAGGAATCCAGAAGCAGCTCTGGCCTTGTTGAAGTGGCTACATGGGCTCAGTAGAAGAGCAAATAAACCCTTGAGACGCTAAACCACAGAGCAGGGCAGGACCACAGGAATAGGGGCCAGGATTTTGAAGCAGTGTTAAAGTTGTATGAGAGGCCATAGAAGACAGCAACAGCCAAAAGGAACCCAGACTTAGATTAGGAGATATATTATGTATGTATTATATACATAATAGTGTGAGCTTCAAGAGGCCTTGAGCTTTCCTATTGGCTGGGCATATGGGTTCTAGAGTCAGAATGCCATGGCTTGTATTCTGGGGCTATAACTTCAGATAAATTAACC